CGCCGGAAGCGCAGTTCGCGCTGATAGCCTGAGGGCAGGAGCGGCTCGGTTGGACCGCTGGTGGCGTGCCAAATCGCTAAGAGCGGCTCGGTTGGGCCGCTGATGGCGCGTCAACATCGCTAAGCGTCACGGCGGTAGGGCAGTGAGGCAGACAAGGCTGGAGATGCAGCTCACAGCTAACCGATGCTCGATAGCTGACGCTGGTCTTACAACGGGATTAACCAACCTGATCGTGCCATCAATGTTGGAAAGTACACACGAATGGCAGACCACTTGTGACAAGAGAACAGGCCACTTCCGACGGGACGAAGGCAAAGTGCGTCTTTAAAGGCTGCATCCGAATCGGGATCAGGAAAGCTTATAAGCGAATAAGCCTAAACCTGCAAACTTGGTACCAATCGGAGGAATCCGTCCAGGATAGTGGCATTTCACACAAACACAGCGTTACATGAGATCTGCCCGCTCATCGTCAGCATGATGATCGACAGACACGCTCTGGCTGTTCACCAGCTTACCGGTCCTCATGTTATTCGTAGTTCTTATCCGAAGAGCATCTGTGATCAGCTTGACTTGCTCAAGGTAACGCCGGACGAAGATGTTGGGAACAAAGCCGATCATGTTCTGCTCTCCGCATCCAGTGGGGACTCGCACCAAGCGTTCCAAATTCTGCATACAAAGTTCATCTTTGTATTTGTGTTTAAAAGTGCCCACAAAATTAGGGAGTGGATTAATGGGGTGGACACAATTGGGCACAGACCACGAACACAAGACAATATACTTGATATCGTTTGCGTTCTCTAAATGGAAAACCGCTATAGAAAATAGCAACTGGACCTACATTTCCTTAGCAAAGGATGGGCGAAGGACACTTTTATGTAAACGCGCGTGCAAACCGTTGGGATACACATTTTTCTTAAACTTACGGCGCGTAAAATATCTTAGCATTTTGATGGGGGCATTCTCGGTTGTGAAGCGTTCCACCAAACATTCTCGATAACAACAAGGTTTCGCGGACCTGTGAAGCTGTTTTGATAATAAACGTTGTTAAATATCCTTGTTTGGAATATAAGTAAAGAGTCATCATTCCACGAAAGCTCATGTTTCATGTCATCTACACAGGTTTGCTAATGTTAACAGGCAATCACAATATGGCTCATGAAAATTGGCCAACGGCCTGTATATATATATATATATATATATATATATATATATATACATATATACATATATATATATATGTATATAGTGTCACTGGATGCCACGTCAGTGAAATGCACCAAAGCATTGATACACAACACTGTGACGCAATGAATTCCCTTCCCAAAATAACAGCAATAAATAAACAGGTGTATGAAAAGGATGGCAGGGCCCTTCCCTTATGCGCCACTTATGCAACCAACGACCGCGCCCGAATGTTCTGGTAACACTCACCGCGGAGGACGGCGCGAGCAGGTCGCCAACGACGAAGATCCAGGCGCGCTGCGAGTCGGGCACCAGCGTGGGAAGCAGTTGCAGCGGGAACGTCACCACTGTGGCGGCTGGGGTACCCTCTGGCCGGCAACGAAGGCGGTGGACACCTCCTCCTGCGGGAAGCCCTCAGGCTTCACCAGCAAGCTGCGGCGCAGCGCGTCACTGCAAAAACACGGAGTGTCCTAACCGCCCTGGACTTCCCGATCATCGGCACACCTACATTGTGCATAGCGCTGTATGCACCTGATAGCGTTAAGATCATCGCCAGCCTTTGGTGGATACTTGTACTGAGCAATGTTGGCTGCGGGCGAATCGAGTTGTAAGTTCTCGCTCTAAATTATGTTCGAACTATAGCAAACCCGAACGGATCAACAGATGGTACCGCACCGGAGGTGTGTGGCAAAGCCGCTAAATGAGAATAACCCTCCCAACACGCAACGGTGGACCTCCACAGCATTCTGGGAGTTTTAAAATGTGTGGCAATCTGTGGACACCTACGTGCGTGGTATATATATATATATATATATATATATATATATATATATATATATACATATATATATATATATATATATATATATATATATATATATATATATAATATATAAACTATACGTGTATAATACATATGTCTAGATACTATGACACCTGGGCCGCGATTGGAAGGAAAGTCGCTACGCGGCGTTTATTTTAGATCGGTGTTTCGCTGACAAAGTTCACGACTGTCGGACCAGTAGCAGCCATCAACATTCTAAAAACGAACTACACCTAACCTCCCTCTCGTATGCGACACCTGATAATGAAGCTTCCTATTGGCGTACATGATGCCACATTGGGACACGTGTTTCATGTTAGCTAACATTGGGTGAGTGACTGTCCGTCCGCAGTTTCTCCACTCTGAAGCAGCTGTGTCATGGTGTGACCTGTTCCGCCTGGCAGACGTGCACCGGGGAGCCGTTCACCTGGCCTGCACGGTGTTGGGCTTGCCACAGGCAGCGCCGTCCGCCCGCACCGTGGCCGTGATGTCCACATCGCCCAGGCTGCTGAACTGCAGCGGAAACTCCACCACCACGGACGACCCGGTCCGCCCGCACGCAGATCGCGTGGGTGCGTGGCGCGCCGCCGTCACCGAAGTCCTTAGAGGCGCCAGTTCGACCAGCACCTACACACGCGGGGTGCCTGGTCGAGTCGGCCAGAGTGTTGACGACCGGAGTTCGGAACGGGGTGCAGGCGGTCGGGCATCATGCCTGAACGAGACGCGAATGGTGTAGATGTACTTGTTATATTACTGACGGCAGAACATCCAAGGCACCAATTACACGTGACATTTATTGCACATCACGAACTACTTATTCACAAGATTTACCCGCAAATTAATTTGAAGATACGAACTACTCATCTATGACCTCTACACGCAACATAAATGTACTCGCTAACTTACTTATCCATGAGCTCTATACGCGACATAAATCTTGATGCACGAACCACGAATCCATGAGCATAACACGCGTTTGCAAAACGATACTTTGACAAGGCGTTTTTGTAGGAAGTGTTACTAAGGCTTGAAACATTCTGTATAGGCAAAAAAGATAGGCGGACGTAGAGCTATTATCCGGCGAATTCGACGAAGCATTATTTCATAGCTTTGTTTTCTCCCGTATGGCGTTTACCACAGTGGCTCCTTTCGAAAACGGAAGTCAAGTGTAAGGATGAAATGAGCCGACTCAAAATAGCTGAAATGTGGCCCGGAAGATTTCCGGTAACGCCCAGAATTATACGACAGTTTTTAGGGTATAACACTTTGCCATGTGCCCACCTAAGAAGCTTGAAGATATGATGGTGCGAATGCGAGAATTTGTCTTGTTTTAACGTGAAATGCCTCAGACTGGTATGCACAGCCTGAAAACACCTTTGTGTATTGGAAACATGGCTCCAATGACGTGCTACATGGTCTGCATGGTCTTCCTTGAAAACGTACGTTACACCGCACGAAAGCAAGTGAAAAGTTACGAAGCAAGGAAACAGCGGAGTAGCGAACTAAATTGTAGAGGAAAAGGGGACTACGAACGTAACTCAAGTTACTGGTTCCGTTGCATTTTTTGTTGCTTTTGAAAGTTACGCTTCCGCTACTCGAAGGAGCGGTTCCGTGGCGCAACCGACTAACGGAGTAACAGCCCGTGCCCACATTGTCCAGAGATGAATGGTCAAACCACTAAACATAGCTCGGTAAATGATGGATCGCTACTTAGTCGGCTCACTGACATATCTGTGCTCGTAGGAGCCATTCATCGAGATATGTCTATTGACGTGAGGGATTTGTCGATAAATCCGCACTCGCGCGGGTCACACGCCAACATATCTGTATTCGAATGAGCGACTCACCGACACTTCTGTGTTCGAATGGGTGACTTGCCGACACGTCTGTATTCGAATGGGTGACTAACCGACGCGTCTGTATGTGAATGGGTGATTTACCGACACGTCTGTATTTGAACGGGTGATTTACCGACACGTCTGTATTTGAATGGAGAACTCACGACACGCCTGTATTTGAATGGGTGACGTACCGACATGTCTGTATTCGAAAGGGTGACTTGACTTCACGTCTGTATTCGAATGGGTGACTTAGCGACACGTCTGTATTCGAATGGGTGACTTACCGACACGTCTGTATTTGAATGGGTGACTTACCAACGCGTCTGTACCCGAATGGGTGACTTACTGATACCTGTGTGTTTAAATGAGTGACTTACTGGCACCTTTGTATTCGAATGGGTGACTTACCGACACGTCTGTATTCGAATGGGTGACGTACCGACAGATCAGTCGCCAGGAAGTTGAACACGGAGACCTTGAGCCGTAGCAGTTCGCCTCGCTTGACCGAGAACGGCACGTTGATCTCAGCAAAGAACGGCTTGAATGTGGTAATGGAGGCCGTCTCCGAGAGCCGAACCCGCTCTGTGGACCCGGAGCTCCAGTTAGCAGCTGGCTTCAGCGACACGCTGGAGACTGGACCACCTCCGACAGCCTCAGCGTTGCGGACAGATGCGGATCAGGCTGGCGGTTGACTGGCGTCAGTATTGTATTATACGTGTTGACTGGCGTCAGTAGTGTATTGTCCGTGTTGACTGGCGTCAGTATTGCATTATTACGTGTTGACTGGCGTCAGTACTGTATTGTCACGTGTTGACTGGCGTCAGTACTGTATTGTCACGTGTTGACTGGCGTCATTGTATTGGCACGTGTTGACTGGCGTCAGTAGTGTATTGTCACGTGTTGACTGGCGTCAGTATTGTATTGGCACGTGTTGACTGGCGTAAGTATTGTATTACGTGTTGACTGGCGTCAGTAGTGTATTGGCACGTGTTGACTGGCGTCAGTATTGTATTGGCACGTGTGACTGGCGTCAGTATGTATTGCACGTGTTGACTGGCGTCAGTATTGTATTGGCACGTGTTGACTGGCGTCAGTATTGTATTGGCACGTGTTGACTGGCGTCAGTATTGTATTGGCACGTGTTGATCGGCGTCAGTATTGTATTGTCACGTGTTGACTGGCGTCAGTATTGTATTGGCCGTGTTGACTGGCCGGTGCGGGTCACGCCCCTCGGAGCACACTTGTTGCCTAGCTGGTGACTGCGAGCAACTAAGTGGGAATCAGTGTTGGCGCGGGAATTGCATTGCCATTCCGACTATTGGACATTGGCTACTGACTGCATGGAACCAGATGGGTAATGGTTAGCCACTGACCAGTGGCTAGCTGAAGGTTGCCAGGTGCCTTACAATCCCAAATTAGTAGAGTCTGATTACCATCTGAATGATAATGGATCGGGGACGTGCTGGGACAGATACGGCCTGGACATTGACTGGTGACGGACTGGGAATTCGATGACAATTGGTGAGACTGAGGATTGGCTGTCAACTGAGCGCCACAAGACACAACAGCCATTTGCTCACCTCACATCGATCTTGGGAAAGCCTGTCATATTCACGTGAAATGCACACACGATATGAAATATCCTTTTGATAATGACACTCTCACTTATCCTTGATAGCGGTTGCTTCAGTCCCATTCTACGTTTTTCTTACCCCTTAATGACAGCACCTTCTGACTCAAGCATTTCACTCGTCACCGAATCGGAATCCTGGAACGGGGGCACAATCGTCACAAATGTTACAGGACCGCGCGACCACATTGTGACCTTTAAAGTTGCTGCAGAAGGCGAGCCGACCCAGCGTGTGATGGTGTCTGGCATCTTCTGCTTGAGATCCCCTCACCGTCGCCCCTACCGGTCGAGAGTGCGCATGTTACCAAGCCATGCACATCAGCATCATCATCGCATGGGCGCTTTATTGAGAACCACACTCTCTGTCGGTTCCACAAATGACTACTGCCAGCGACAGATGTTAAGGAGCAGCATGTCCGATCTGGCGTCGGCGTTTTCCAAAAATATTATCGATCAAGCCAATTAGCTGACACTTTTTAGCTATTAAAGACGAAGAATAGATATAGCAAGACTAATAGCTGGCTTAGATAAAACCCCCAGCATGTATCACCTCGGCCAAAAGTGGAAGCATTCTACGCATGGATAGCAATGCAAACCAAGGCAAAATGCAGGTATTTTTTCACACCACATACCACTTGTCGAAATGGGTTCATGGTCAGTTGGGATGGAGTTGAGTTGACCTGTGTGCTCAAAAGTCGCCAGCAGCACCCCAATATTGCCGGTCCATCTACTTGGATATATCCCCTGCGCTGGTGATAAAGTAGTCGGGGTGGTCGCCTTTGGGTCTGACAGTCTAGGGATCAAGTCCGTTACTCCGGAGAGGGCTGCTGTCTGTATTGCATGTATTTCGCTCACCCAAGACCCTCCAGCTGGAAGAGGAACGTCTCCGGGAAAAGGAGCGTACGGCCACAGCCACGGCCGCCGACGTCCGGCCTGCCGAATTAGCCACAGCCGGTGACGGACCAGTAGTGCCTGAGCGTTGAAGAAACTGATGTCTTGGGACGCCGCTACCGCCCCCATTAGGTAACGGCAATGTGGGCAGATGATCCTCTTCCGTCGCTCGCAGGACGGGTCTCCAGCACC